TTCTGGCATATAAAAAGGAGTGGACAAACTGGATATAGCAGGAACTTCAGTAAGCTTGGTTCACATTCTCTTGATGTTCTGGAAAAAGGTTCCTTCTCCCCAGGCATGCAGGCAGTAACAGCAAGCATCCTTCTGAGGTCAGTAGTTCAAGATCTCTTGATTCAGGATCTCTTGATCTCACCTCACTGTTATTGAGGTGTTTCTACAGTGCTGCCCATATTAACTAAAAACTAGAATAAGAATTTCAATACTTCCCACTAACAGCACTGCAAGTTCAGAATAATTCACATTAAAAGATTTGTTATACAGGCATACAAGATAGTGCGTACCCTCTGCCCTTAAAAAAACAAAAACAAAACCAAAAACAAAAACAAAAAAAAACCAACAACAAAACAACCCAAAACTTGAGCCAAACAACTTAAAGATTATATTTTGAATATTATATTATTTATAAATACGATTTATATTGAGATCCAAGATTAGAGAAATATTAGAGAAATATTCTCAACTATTCCCAACCATTCAAAATGACTATCTCAACAAATGTATCTACTTTGAACTACTTCTTCAGATAGTATTAAGTTCCTTGCTTTTTTCCTTCTGTGGAGCTCAGTCACCAATTTGCATCTCTATAGATGTGACTGGCTCTATCTCTTTAAGTTTCTTGTTATCACTGCTCCTTGGCTGTGAAAGCAAGCACTTTGGTAATTTTTCAGTACAGGACAACATATATATGGTGCACAAACAACAGAGACCACACAGGGACCTCTGACTCTAACACTCTCTTTTTTCTTTTTCCCTCTAAATTATGTATGTAAACCCACAAATTGTGAAGTCCAACAATTTAAAAATGTATCTTATCTTTTTGCAGGCACAAGTAATTAGCAGTGCAATTTAACATTGGTAATTACTCATGGCTACAGTTAATTTCATTTGCATTTCTAACTACCTGATATGCAAGTGAAGTCAAGTAATTACATGTCCACACTACCTAAATTGCACAACAGTTTAACACTGTATCTACAAAGCATAGATGCAAAACGTGTCCAGTCTTTCAAATGTAGTCCTAATGAACAGACTGGGAAAAGGTGTTTAGAAGCCTGAGGATACAGGAAAATATCTAAAGGGATTTTCAGAAGCATATTGGTGCCTCACTCCCATTAGAGTAACACAGAGCAGAAGTTTTCCTCTGAAGGCAAAAGCCTTTTTCATATGCTCAGCAGATAAGCACATGCGTATTTTTACTTAAACCTTAATTTACCCCTGTGTAAATATGCAATATAAATCTACTTTTAAGAACAAAAATTATCAAAAGGCAATTGTGAAATTTTTTTTAAATACCGAATTATGTTTTTGAGAAATATTTATAAAACATCTGAGGATCTGGCTGAATACTAACTTTTAAAAAATACAATTATTATCTATAAGAATTGTTATAGTCACATGAACATAATTTTGTTATAGGTGAAAACATGCATCAGTGAGCGGAGACGACTAGAGAGACTTTCAGTGTGGAGTGAAATTTATGTCTGTGCTGAGAGCCAACCTAGGAGGCAGACACTGCCAACAAATGTCTTTCCTCTGAAAACACTTTACCAAGGACAGGAAACAAATATATTGCAGGTGAAATTCTCTCTTGTGCAGAGGTCCTACACAGGTCTCCATGTTATACAAGTCCTACTTAAATACTACTCCAAAGCTGCACAAATCTACTGCACAGGCAAGAAACTTCCCTTGGAAGAATTCCTTGGGCCCTTTGAAAAGGATGTACTTCGACAGCATCAATCATAGTCTCTTAAACAATAAATCTTGTGCTGCCCTCTGCACAGGAGTGGGCACACCTTGCAGATTATCTCTCCTGTTTTGCAGAAATGTTGGAAAATCCTACAACGCTTCAGGGTTTGTATTATGCAGACTGGGTTGACACTGCATATATACAAACTTCAAGACAGCATGTAAACACATTAGTTACTGAAATGGTCAAGACAGAAGGGACAGGAGTACTTTACATTTAGGTATTCACAACTTCTGGCTCCATGTTGAAATCCTCATTCCACTGAAATAGTTGAGAGATGTTCCCGACCTTGGTGAGGCCAATATCTCATCCCATCTTTTTAACTGACAGTTAGTTGTCATCACTAGCCTGTCTTCTAGCCCTATCTCTACGTCAGACTCTATTAGTGAAATTTCTCTGTGTCAGACTTCTCAGAAACCTCTCCCATTCTGAGGAAAAAGTTCAAAACAATTAAAATCACCCTGCATCCTCACCTGGATCACAACCGTGGTATAGGATTTCAGGGTACATCCTCAAAAGGAATCAGGTGGCAAGTACCCCAAATGCTACTTACACACCAACAAAATTCCTCTGTATTCTACTGTCCCCCACCCCAGTGCCCAAATTCCTGACTCCTCGGCCACATGCACATAAGCATCACTACCACCTCATGGGAGTGAGCTGCCCAGATCTGCAGATGATGCCAAAGACTGAGAATATCAAAGTAGGGGTCTCCAATATGACGATCTTGATCTGTGAATGGATCTAGTGCATCCAATTCACTAAACACAGCTCCTGCGTCATTCTTGAACAGTATTTAAATTGGGAAAAAAATAAACAACTGGAATACAGGATCCTCAGTCATCAGCAACAAAGCTGAGCATTTCACTAGTTACTTTCTTGACTGTGATTATTAAATAACTCTAACAGGACTAAATGAAAGAGCTCTGTACCCTAACTCTCAAGTATTTTGCAGCAGAGTTGTCCAAACCTGGTGATGGTTCACATCTTTGATCTAAGTCAGAAAATCATGGAAATAATCTTGGGTCTCTCATTTTCTAATGGAAGCTGTAATCAGAGTGCTAATAGCTCTAATGGGCACATGAACACTCCTAGGTGTGCTTTGCTCACACTTCTCTTGCGCTCTCACCCTTTACCTTTCCTTCTTGGAAAACAACATGTAAGTAAAACAAACAAGCAAACAAACAAAAACCCCCAAACTAACAAAAAAGGCAGGGAAAGATATTTACTTCACTTCTTTCTTTTGAGATGCCTATATGGGACACAGGTCCTCTGTGTTTTTAAACCTCCTTCTTATTGCCCTTAGTGTTGCCCCCCTTATATTGTGTGGTGGGCAATTTATTCAGGATCCAGGATCCTTCCTTTTGCCAAAGCCCCCAAAAATTCTTCTTTGCTACCCCTAATCCACTCACTTTGCAAACAAGGACTGCCTCACTTTTTTCTTTTTCTGAACCTTTCATAACTCTAGCTCAGCTGTTTTGAAGAACTAGTCAGCACAGACCTCTTCACCTGTCATTACAGATCTCTTCTTCTCCATGCCTTGCAATTGCACATTGATTTCCGACTTCTTGCTTCATGGAGCCATCTTTGTCAGCATCTGCCTTTACCTCCCAGATTCCCAAACCCATGACTTCTGGATTTTTTTCCCTCCATGGATGATGTGACCTGCTCCTGGTGCAACAGCTTAACACAGCATTATGTAACTCCGCCAGAAATCTCTTACTTTGTCGCAAAGGTTTCTCTTGCCTGTCTTTACCCTTACAACAAAAAGAATAGAGTTCAAGCCATAGAATGGCTTTTAGACTTGTGACTCTGATGATCTGCTCTCTAATGTATGTCTTCCTCGACACTGACTATGATGGAAAACTAGCTGTTATACGTCACTTCAGCCTGGATGTCTGCATTTTGTTGCACAAAATTAGAGCACTGGTTCTCAGATTATACCTATGATGACAAATGGATTAATGTTTAACTGGTGGTTGAATTCTGAATGAATTCTGAAGTCCATGGATTACTTCTACGCGGTCTGTGACAGGTCTAAAAGGAAAGCAAGTTTTAGAATGTTATAACGCAATATAATTCTGTAACAAGTCCAAGAAAGCACACACAGAAAAGGTTAAAACCTACTGCTCTGAATCTGTTTTATTACAATGATGGTTGTGTTGTATTGTTTACTCTAAACAAACATGTATCAGAGTGCAAGAATAGGCCCTGACCATGACCATATTATAGTCATCCTGTACCATATACTATAAATCTTCCTAATCTTGCATTGCAAAGGTTTTGTTTTCATGCATGGCTTTTGGAGAATTCTTTGCTATATTAGACACACTATTAAAGTGCCTGCTTTTGCTGCCTTAGCTACTTACTTGCCCTTCACATTTTAAGAATTACTCTAAAAGTCATGTTCTATGTCACTATGGGTACATATATTTAACAATAGAAAAAGGATAGCTGGAGAGGTCTGCTTAGCTTAGGGGATTGAGACATGAAAAGTGCGTCTTCAAGTAGTAGCTTTAACTCAACACCTACCACCCCACAGATGATCACCAACAAAAAAAAAAATTGTGTGGTACCTGAGCTTTGCCTGAGTTTTCTGTCTAAGAATAAATTTTAGCTGAAACAAGTCACATGTTTGAAATGGTGCTATGTTGGTTTCAAATAACTGTATTTTCCAGTGGCTACAGACCTCTGGGCTTGGTCAGACTGTTACTGAAGTTGATTTTGTGGTTTGGCCACCAATTCCAATGCCTTTTAGTAAGTGCCAAAAAAAGAACCCAAACTTGACAACAGCCTTAAAAAATGCCTGTAGTCTACTAACGGTCTCACAGATGTGACACACATTATGAATCAACCCCATAAATCTGTCCCCCAGAAGGATTTATTCTGCCTTGAACGGAAGCTCTCAGTGAAGAAGTTCCTCAGGATCCAAATCTCTCGACCCAAAACAAGCTGTTCCTCAACTGCCTTGTAGTCAAAGCGAATTACTCTTGGGGCATGGCTTTCATGTTCCCACTTCTCCCGGATAAACTTCCACTCAAACCGACGAGGCGGGAGGGCAGTGGGATGTGCTCTTTCAAGCCTTATCCAAATCCTTCCCGCTCCCTCCTGGTTTTACCGCGGTGGCACCAGCGGGTGCGGGGGCCAGCGGGAGGCCCCTGCGGCGGCCCAGGCCACAGCCCGCCGCCTCCCGGCGCCGCCGCCTCGGCCCCCCGGCCCGCATGACATCATCGGGACGGCTCGGGATCGATCCCCGCCGGCCGCCGGCTCGGGCGGGCGCTCCTCCGCGGCGGCCGCCGCTGCCGCCCTGCGCACCCAGGGGGAACGCCGGCCCTGCCGCGGACGGAACGGGCTGACATCGGATCCATCCCCTCCGCCATGAAACAAGAGCGCTGACGGCTCTGCGCCGGCTTCGGACTGCGCGTCGGGAAGCCGCTCCGCGGGCTGCGAGGGGCGAAGGTGCGGGGTTCTCACGGCCCCGCGGCGAATGCGCCCTCCACGAACAACGGCACTTATTAAGGAGTCCTGCCTGGCTCGGGGGTCAGGAAGAAGGAATTCACCAGGTGGGAATCGGGAGAAAAGAAAAGGAGCCACGAGCGGGAAGATCAAGAAGCAGCAGCTGAAGAAACCGCCCGGTCCCTCTCCTGACAGGCTGCAACGCGCAACGCGGCGGGCGCTTCCAGACCCCTATTGTAAACGAATGGAGCGGGAGGGGGAGTCCAGAGGCATACACAAGGAGCACAGGACCTAATTCCTTTCCCTCCCTTTCCTCACTGGCTTGCCCAGACTCGCCAATAAATCCAGCTCGGCTATGCATCGCGATGGGAACGTGCTGCCAAGGAGGCTGCCTTCCCGTCACTAAGGATGCTGCCTTCCCCTCACTGAGGAGGCTGCTGCTGCTGCCGCCGGGGCTGCCCGCACACCGCTGAGGACGCCGCTGCCGCCGCGGAGGTTGCCGTGCCCTCACTGAGACAGCCGCAGCTGCCGCCGCCGAGGCTGCTGTGCCCTCATCGAGGCGGCCGCCGCCGCTGCGTTACTGGGAGAGATTGTGGCGCTGCGACAGGGGAGGACGGGGCTCGGCGCGCAGGGGGGAGGCGCGGGGAGCATGCGCCGCCAGAGCCGCTGACTGGATCCTCAGCCAAGGTACCGAGGTAAAAAAAAAAAAAAAAAAAAAAAAAAAAAAAAAAAAAGGAAAAAAGGAAAAAGAAAAGGATTGAGAGAAAGAAGCATGAAAGACAGCAGAGGAGAACAGAAAAGACTGCGAGGATAAAGCAGCCCTCGGTCGGCGGCAAGCAGCAGCTCTGGCATGTGGGGATCTCTGGCACCAACAGGTAGGAGGAGAGGGGCTGGGGGCGCCGAGGGCTGCCGAGGCTGCAGCTCCGTGCGGGGAGGGCTCCCCCGCTCAGGGAGCGGGCCTGGGGGGTGATTTCCAAAGAAGCGGCATGATGGAAGCGCTCACAGACAATGCCTCTTCCGCTCACCCCAGCTCCCCGCCGCGGGGGGCTCTCGCACGGCTCCGGCAGATGCGGCTGATGCCAAGCAGCGGCACCCGGGCTGCCTTGCAGTGCGGCGCAGTCCAGCCCTGCATGGCGGGGCGAGGGGAAGCGGCTGTGCCCGTGAGTGTGTGAGTGTACGTGTGTGTCAGCGGCGGTGCGAGGGTGCCAGCGAGCGCCGGGTGTGCAGCGTGCGGGAGTGTGTGCGGAGGCAGGGCCGGCCGCCGCGGGGACAGATCCACGGAGGAGGGGGGAGCGGCGGGGCTGGCGGGAGGGGGAGGGGGAGCCTGATTTCATGGTTTTAAAACGATGCCATGATCTGATCAGCCTCTGTTTACACAGCAGCAATCAGGCTCTTTTGTGGACGGTAAGAATGGAAGGATTTTTGCTGGGATTCAGTGGGAATATCCTTTGTACACCCGAGGTGGCATAGGAAACACTTCGTGTGAATAACGAAGGAGCCTGCTCATGCCTGCTGTGGCTCCTGTCTCTGGCTTTAAAGGGAGAAAAAAAAAAAAAGAAAAACAAAACCAAAATATCCCCAGCAACAGACGGTTCTTTATTTTATTTTATTTTATTGCATGAAATGTGTTCCGGTAGGATTCACTGGGAGGATTAGTGGGAATCGCAGAGCCCTAATTAGCTAAAAAAAATATCAATTTATATGTTTATCTAAGCATAACCGAAACTAGCCCTCCCGAAAGGATGGGCTTTAAATCTTGGCTGTGTTGCCTATTTTTGCTCAGTATTTACACTGACCATTGCTTATTATGAATTATGTCGAGGCTTTAACGATTTGCATTAAATCGGGGGGGGGGGATTGGGGGGGGAACGACACCCTGAAGCATACTGCTATCGACTGTCTGAATACCTGTTTATCTAAAAGCCTAAATGATAAAATTATGGTTTATAGAAGGAAGGGAGGGGGATCATGAATACTGTTTCTCTTACAATATGCATAAACTAACACTGTGATTAATGTGCTTTGGTGGCTTGGGTTAAAAAACATAAATTCTGCAGGCTTTCTTTGGGTGTGATCCGTATCAACATAGCAGCTGCCTCTTAAAACATCGACAAATACAGTAGACATAAAATAAATGTAGGTAATGTCAAAATATCAGTGGTCTTTGGGGATTTTTAAAAAATATGTCAGTGATTAACTCTTGGGCTTGCAAACTGGGAATCTTTTGATTCATAAAATCTCTGAGGCTTTAACTGTGACATTATATGTGCTACCAAATATAAGGGGCATTGGTCAGTCCTGAAACTGTAATAAGCCAAATCTGTCAATAATAAATCATACTAAAGAGTAAGTATATTTTAAAAAAGCCTCATGATTTTTAAAAACAAACAATAGTACTCAAATTTACAACTTCATTTGATTCTCCATAAATTAACATCTTTGTTAGCACTTTCTGACATCATTTTGTGTTAACTTAAGAACTGATAGCTCGATTTTTTTTCAGATATTTTGATGGCATGACAAATCAGAAAGAAGAGGATGTACTGTATGACTAGACACAAGATCAGTTCTGTTTGTGGATTACATTTTCAGTAAGATGTATGGATCTATTTTTTCCTTGTTCTTAAATATAGATCATGAGACTTGACTGAGGCAATATACATATCATCCATCCATCTATGGCGAACTACAGCCATGCAGCTGACAACATTTTACAAAATCTCTCTCCTTTAACAGCTTTTCTGAAACTGACTTCACTGGGTTTCATAATAGGAGTCAGTGTTGTGGGTAACCTTCTGATCTCCATTTTACTAGTCAAAGATAAGACCTTGCATAGAGCTCCTTACTACTTCCTGTTGGATCTTTGCTGCTCAGATATCCTCAGATCTGCAATTTGTTTCCCATTTGTTTTCACCTCTGTGAAAAATGGCTCTACTTGGACGTATGGGACTCTTACTTGCAAGGTGATTGCCTTTTTGGGGGTTTTGTCCTGCTTTCACACTGCTTTCATGTTATTCTGCATAAGCGTCACAAGATACTTAGCTATTGCCCACCACCGTTTTTATACAAAAAGACTGACCTTCTGGACTTGTTTGGCTGTTATCTGTATGGTTTGGACTCTCTCTGTAGCCATGGCTTTCCCCCCAGTTTTAGATGTGGGCACCTACTCGTTCATTAGGGAGGAAGACCAATGCACTTTCCAGCACCGTTCCTTCAGGGCTAATGATTCCTTGGGATTTATGCTTCTTCTTGCTCTTATCCTCCTAGCCACACAGCTTGTCTACCTCAAGCTGATATTTTTTGTTCACGATCGCAGGAAAATGAAGCCAGTCCAGTTTGTTGCAGCAGTGAGCCAGAACTGGACTTTTCATGGTCCTGGAGCGAGTGGTCAAGCAGCTGCTAACTGGCTGGCTGGATTCGGAAGGGGTCCCACACCTCCAACCTTGTTGGGAATCAGGCAAAATGCGAACACCACAGGCAGGAGGAGGCTACTGGTTTTAGATGAGTTCAAAATGGAGAAGAGAATCAGCAGAATGTTCTACATCATGACATTTCTCTTTCTGACCTTGTGGGGTCCCTATTTGGTAGCCTGTTACTGGAGAGTTTTTGCAAGAGGGCCTGTAGTACCTGGGGGATTTCTAACGGCCGCTGTCTGGATGAGTTTTGCCCAAGCTGGAATCAATCCTTTTGTCTGCATTTTCTCCAACAGGGAGCTGAGGCGCTGTTTCAGCACAACCCTTCTTTACTGCAGAAAATCCAGGTTACCAAGGGAACCTTACTGTGTTATATGAGGGAGCATCTGTAAATCTTTAGCCTTGTGAAACACTACCATTCTCTGCTAAGCAATTGTGGCCTGTAGCCATGTCTTGAGGAGAAAATCAAGAACGGGATGTCAGCAGCTGTAAGGATTTGGGCAACATTCTGCAGTCTTTGCAATAGCTCACCTCTAATCCTGTTTTAAACCTAAACATGTTCCTGCTGACCACTGCTGAAGGTTTGTAATTAAGAACAAAGGACTGAACTACTGCCCTGAATTCCTTTATGTGGTTGAAATCTAGATTATGAAAGTAGCAGGTGCTAATTATCAGTGCTAAATGCTGTGTATATCACTCCATAAAATAAGAACATCAGAAAGATTAGCATTGGACATCTTAATAAATTAAGTTGATATGAGGTTAATGTGTTGATAAAACTAATTTTAGACATCTGAAGACCTTTAAAACATTTCATACAATTATTATTTTGCAAAGACTGAAAACTGGGGACTCAAGTACTGTAACTGATTAAAGATGTGCCATGCATTATTGGATTATCACACTTACAAATCTGTTTGCCTTGTGAGTAAGTTTTGAGGAGCATTCCAAAGCAGTATTTTTGTTCAGATTTCGAATTTAATTTTTTTTCCAAATATATTACTCTTTCTAAATACCATTTTCCTTAACAGTGAAATTATTAACATTTAACTGTATTCTGTGTTTTTTGCTGATTTGGTATAAAGTTTAATAGACTCTTATTTATATTTTCTAAAAAGCTAGATATCAGTCTGTTAGGCAACGTTAACGATAATATCCAGTCATAATTGAAGAGTTATAATTATACAGAATAAACACATGTTGCCTTAAAGGGTTATCTAGTATCTTCCATTTTGTTTAGCATTGAAGCAAATAAGCAAAGAAAATTGAATCAATAACTCTGGTCAGTCATTTGGGAGTGCATGAAAGATCACTTAGTCCTCTTTTTTCCTTTTTACTCCAATGGTTCCCAAAATCAATATGCACATCACTGGGATTATATGATTTTTTTTTCTAGGTGTGCCGCCCTTTCTAGTTTGTTCTGAGAAACACAGGCAGTTGATGTATGTTTATATTTTGAGACAGCTGTCATGGGGAGACCGCAGCCTTAGTATGATATCTTGCACAATTTGTGAAGCATTTATTCTACTGAAGGCACAGTCTTGTTTATATTTTCTGCACATTTTGGTGTATTGGTTGTTTTAAATTATTTAAGTTTTAACTTGTGAAAGCATATAATATGATTTCTTAGTGTTTTAGAAATACATTAGAGTCTGTGAGTCTTTCCTTCTTTCAGATACAGATGTGTGGATTTCAATATAAAGTTGCATTTGCCAAAATTTACCTGTGTAGCTTGTTAATTTTCTTGGAATAAAATTTTGCATTTTTCCAGTTATACAATTAACCTTTTTTATTTTGTCTAGTGAGCTAGCATGAAGTACTGAGAATGTAGCCATTATGAATTATTATCCTTTGCAGTCACTGTATTCCCAAACTGTAAATACATGAATGATGGGGACCACAGGATTGATAAATGATATTATCTACAGTAGCACTATTGTGTAGTTTATCATAATTACCCATCTATCTGTTCTAATATGTCAGTTATATTTAAAGTTACAACACAGTATTTGACATTAACTTCACCGTTTAATTTTGGAATATGTGTATGTTTGAAGCACAACATCATGAGTTGGTCAATCATAAAGAACACAGATTTTTCTTAATTTTGGGAGAGACAAGACTAGAGCTCTTAATTCAGTATTTGTTTATCTTGTCCTTTGTTGCAGTTTTATGACCAGCAAGTTAATATATACATACACAAGCAGCAGTCGATAATGGAAATGCTTAAATTTGTATGATAACATTATACAACATATGCAACAATTCAGACAGTTGCGTCCATATGTGATCAGACAACTTGATCAAAGATTTGGTGAGCAATCTGTTTGACCTCACATACACTTTTATACTGAGGTTGATTGGTTGAGAGGCATGGCTTTATATACTGTGTTGAAACAGAAAAGTTGCTAAAATAATGAGTCCTCATCAGTATAAGAATGTTTTAGAACGTAATTTGAAATGGGACCAATAAACTTCTACCAAAAGGACATTTTTATTACACTGAAAAAGGCTTTGAAATTAAGGTAATTAAGCAGTTGTCAGAGATAGCAAGAAGGAATAAAAACTGAATTGTATGTTGAGAAAAATTCTGAAAGTCATCCCACTTAAGTTTATTAAAAGGTTGATTGGCAATAACTTCAGTCTAATTTCTATAAAATAGTAACCTTTACAAGGAACATAGATATTACATATTGTAATAAAGAAGTAAATATAAATAAAGTTGTAAATAATGTTATAGTTGTAGAAGTAGTCAGTTCTGAGGATTAGGCAGAAAATTTTCAACTATGAAATTTCAAAAGCTGCAAATCTGGGCCTGACCTAACTCCTAATAAAGTCAGTTGGTGTTTTCCCGTTAACTTCATTTGTAGCAGAAGCGGGCCCTAACATTTCTATAGTACTATGCTTCTGAAATACTAAGAAGGCTGTGTTTACTATGCAGTGGGAAAAGAGAAAAAAAAATTAAAAATATTTCCCTGGAAGTTTTGCAAGCAGTAACTGATGTAAATTAAAATAATAAACAGTAAATAAGTCTGAAAGCAAATATTTTGATAAATGTTTTTCTTTTGATATGAATATGATTCCTTTGGCTATAATGAAAATATGCAACTGTATTACTACCTGGCAGAGGACAGGTATTTTTTCTTAAGTGAATTTTTATAATTGTTCCAGTAAGAAGTCTTGTGACAGAAGTATTTCCTGTTATTTTTCTCCAGCATTAAAAGGACAAGGGGATGTTCAGTGAAATTAATAGCCAACATACAAAGTAACATTTTATGCAAAGTTATTACTCAGTGGAACTCACTGGAACAGGATGTCAAGTAGTTTAGAGAGATTCATACAAGAACTGTATGTATGCATGAATTAAAGCAATGCTTGCAGTTTTTGTCATCAGTGTCATTTTGATCCTAGTCAGCATATCAAAACTAATGTATTAAGGTATAAATTCAAAGGAGCAAGAAGGTTCATTCCAATTCATACACTGTTGTGTCACAGTATGAAAAGCCTTTTCTTTCATTTTAGTACAGGAGTTAAGCTATTGCCAAAGCTAGACTACAGGGCTGGTAGGTTTCTGTTTTCAGAATAGCAAAGAATATCACACTGTTTTATATCTGCATTGATCTTTAATGCTCATGGGTAATGTGAAGTTAAAGGTTTTAATTTTTTGATGACAAAAAAAAAAAGAGTAAGAACAAATTCCCTGGAGAAAAGGCTGTCTGCCTCTGTTGTTTTCCTGCCCTCTGTAGCCCCACTAGCCCTTTGGCAGCCTCTCCATCAATGCTTCTACAAGAGTAAATGTTTCCTATTCTGAGTGTTGTATTTACCCTTCTCCTTGAGAAGTATGTCAGCCATCCCTCCTCCCCAGTAGATAAGATCCTGCAGCACCTTCCCAGTGTTGTCAGTGTCTGGGTTCCCTTCCTGAGGAGAGAGAGGGACCGCCAGTTCCTTCCAGCTGGTTTTGCAGCTCATGGAGTCATCATCTCAGGGCACTTGGCTAGTGCACTGGGTATCTCTGTCTTTGGTCATGAAGCAGATGCAGCTTCAGCTGTGCAGAGAAAAATGAGAATTGGGAAAAGACAGCTGGAAACAACTTTCCCAAATCCTTCATAACGAAACCACTGTTCTTGTTGCATTGCCCAAGGGCATATTATTTTTTTAAAGCATATTTGGTGTTAATGACCTTCTAAATAAATAAAACATACATTTAGCCAATTAATGCGAGTTTTTTGGTACAGCTACAAAATTTTATTATAAAATGGTTTTCTGTCAGTCTCTAGGCCTTGGGGGCAGAGGAATCCACTCTATCTGCTTTTAAGTGCATTGTGTTTGTTCAGTTGTATTGCTTTTGCTTTGCCTTTCAAGCATGTCAACATTTTATTTATATTAACAGGAATCCAGTATTGCAGCAAGCTGTTATTACACATGGGTTTAAAAAAATTATATAACAGGGAACTAATGATTTTTGAGGTGAAAGAGGGAGGTATTTCAACAAGCAATTGGGTTTTAGCAAATGTTGAATAAAAAGGTGGGTTGCTGGGCTCTTTCATAGTTACACAGTCAGCTCTCAATTATTGAAGCTAGAAATGGAGTAGACTAAATTGCACAGAGCTAACACATAGATAATACCAAGCATGTCCACACTGGATAAGAATTTCTATGTGTATTACATTTATCAAGGAATGAAGTTAAGCTGAAGTAAAAAGTGAGATCAGAAATTCAAAGAATGGTGGGTGGTTTTCCTTTTTTTTTCTGCTTTGTTTTAGCATAGCACTGCTAATCTGCAGCCTGGGTTACACACCCACATACAACTGAGGGTTGCCTGTACAATTCTGCATAGCACATAGACAACTTCCTTCTAGTTTATATTCATTGAGAGCTGTATGAGTGCACACTACTAATCTGATTGACTTTTCAGAGAAAAGAGAAGGCTCAGTCTGAGATACTGTTCAATAGAGGTTCTCTGCTTTTGTATAATGAAGTGATTTTGAGTGTGAAGAAATCAGTGATCTAAATCAGTAATGATCATAAGCCTTCTCTGGCCATGGTCATTAAAAACAGGACAAGATGACATTTTGCAATGCATATGCCAGCAACAAATCAAAGAGTTTGATATTATACACCAAGACTTTCCTTGAGTGGCCTGAAAATAGCTCATGCTTTATCTTCAGAAAAATGATGAAGCTATCCACTTAAATGGATAAAATCTTTAACTAGCCAGTGTAGAAAAAGAAGGGTGAACTTTAAAGACTGCTCATTATAAATAGTGAAGAGTTTTTGTGGTGTTTTTGTTTGACTGAACTGTGTAATTACATAAGTATATGATGATCAAAGGAGTCTCACAGTAAATAAGTTAGATTTTTTAGTATTCTAAAAAGGAAATAAGTAACAACAATCTACAGACATTTGAAATTAAATAATTACAGTCATCTATATGTTTCATAAATTTAAATAACAAAATAATTATTTACATTTTTAGTACTTAGTTATTTTATGTACTTAAAGAACAGTATCTTTAGGCAGTGAATTGGCTGATGCAGTCCAATGAGATACTTCTTCATATGACAGGTTTTGTACTATGCTTTGTACTTGATAAGTATGAGAGATATAAAAATAGAATTTACCTGATATAATCGTCAACAAACTCTGCAATAGGTACAACAAGACTTCTCCAAATGTTAGGCAAATTACTGTCGCCAGAGATTATTCAGAATTACCCTGTGCTAATTCATGAAAAGTCTACTTCACCTTTATTAAAGGACCATCTGGTTAAAGATGTGTATTTTTTTCATCCTTTCATGGGTTTACTAAGACAAGTTTTGCTCTAATGTAGAGTTAAAAATCCCAAGTATGAAATTATTAATTTGAATTTCAATCATTATGCCACCTATACGTGATATTGTTACAGTCACGTGCTTCCAGTTCATTCTTTCTCTTATTTCCATGGTATGTTAAAGTTTCAGTTTTAGGAATGAAGAGGTAATCTCTGAAAAGCAAGTTGAAGGGAAGAGAAACAATAGCCAGAAATCCATTGTTAATGTTACCTTTGCAAGGCAGAAGGTTTTCATATATGCACTGCATTTTCTACAAGGCTGTGTTGTATCAGCTTCTCTACTGTTTGCCATTAATCCAATGCGCAGGCTGGAAGGTGTAGAGACCTTCTCCGGATCTTCGCTCGGGAAGACTGGCCATTATTACTGTTTGCTAGTGTGTGTATGCAGGATGGATACAATTCTCATGTCACCGTTAACTGCAACATTTTCTGAGCCCTTTTATTTTCATTCTGTATCCATCGAGCTCAGGCGTGTTAACATCCTTATGCAAACTGAAGAAATTGCTAAAAATAGAAAGTGTTGCACTGTAATAATCTTGGTGGATCAGATTCTTCAGATGGTATAAGAGGGTAGCACAAATACTCAATGACTACTCTAGACAGAAGGTTGAAGGATGCAACAAAGTTTTTATCTGTATTCATGAGCAAGTTGAAATCTTGCTGTTGTCCCATAGTGAAACGCTCTCCTGTGGAACTGGCCCTCCACAGGCCTGCAAGCCACTCCATGTTGAGTTTAAGTAGAACTGTGGTTGTACATACTCTGAGTACTTACAGGTGAAATTCATCAGTGAGCAGAGATAAGAAATGCCTAGACAGCATTCATAGAGTACAGACAAGTGATAGGTGTTTGTCTTATCAAAACAGAAGTAGGAACAGAAGAAACAGAGGCCCAGGGATAAATGTTTCTTTGTAAGCTGGTTGGGATTTCATGCCCTCTTTTATTCTTGATTTTGGATTGGATTTTTTTTTTTTTAAATTCATGCCATTTCAGTTGCTCTATTCCATCCCACCCAACACCAGTGGAGCATTTGATTTTATGCTTAATCAAGTTTGTATATTCTTTAAAATACATATCTAATAGTAAAATATATTTGTAACTTTGTGCTTATTATGGAGATACGTAGCAGTGTTTGTTCTTACTCATTTCCATAAGCATTTTCTGTGTTACAAACACAAAAATCCTATTTTCAAAATTAAGTCACTCTACAATTATGTTTCCTGATTTTTCTCTAAAGGTTTTTGAGCTTTGGAAATTTCTCCTATTTGTTCCAGAACACTAAATGCAGATCCTTAGGGCACACCACAGGGAACATTTGATTTCTCTGACTGCAGGACTGTTTGGGCATCATGAGATTGGAAATGTATATTTAGCTCCTGTATAATAATTTATGGTAATGACTGGGCAATAAAACTGATAGTGGAATAAGATATTTGAGTAACTGCAGCTTTAAAATACATCGTAAGATATCTAGCACAAAGGAGAAGTGCTCCTTTTGTAAGATGATTATGTAAATGAAAAGTAAACACACACACACAAATGAGTACAGTTCTATAGGATTTTGATTAACATATTTAGTCATAACTCTAGAAAGATGGGCATAAAGCAAAAAAAAAAGAAAAAGTAGCTTACCATTCAATATGTAATCCTTGTAACTTTGGCTTGATTCCTGCTATCCCTACTCTAGTAAAATTTTCCTTCTCTTTTGTGGAAACTCATCTCAATAAAGACTACAAGATTTTGGTAATATATATCAGTGTTTATCTTTTTTACTTGACTAGTTCTCCATGAGAGCATGGCATAAGCAGGACTTTAAGTGTAATCTCTGTCATAGTGTATGTGCAAAAGCAACATTTTGATGGGTGTCAAGAGGGAGTCTATACATATATAAATATATTTCTCAGACTCTCCAAAACAGTGTAGTATAGTTGATACACCAAGTAGGGACAGCTCAAGGCCTGGTGAAGGGCATGGAGTATCACACTCAAGTATGATAAGTGAGTATAAACTCAGGTGCAAGGAAGGTGAGGGACATTTAATAATGACTTCCTATGTTAATAGTTGTAAATAATGCTTTTGGACTCATTGTACACTTTCTTATAAGTTTCTAAGTAGCAGTAAGGGCATCTGCAGTATGGTGGGGTGTGCTGCTGCAGCTGAGTCCTTATTCCCTCCTTTATTACATAGGGGTGGACTGAAACCACTACACGTTATAGGTGGTTCCTGCATCAAGCACCTTGTGTGGTGGTAATATTCACTAAACTCATCAGCCTAGTGATTTAGTCTAGGTGGAATATTTGGTCACAGTCAAAGTTCTGAAATTTGTTTTTCTTTCAGTGTTTTCTGTGAGTAGTTTCTGTTCTTAATAGGTGGAAAGAAGTGCATGTAAAGGGAATGTGTATGTTGAGCAAATCCTTTTTGGCCTAGTCTTGGTGTGAGGAATTTTATAAGGGTGGAGATGGATGTGGAAGCTCCTCATAGTTTTACCACCTCTTTCAGACACTTTTGTATTTTGGCACAGTTAGCATACTTGCACACAAGGGGATCCAATGGTGTCCCTCCTGTTAGCATTCTCTTTCCAATGTACAACCCCAGAAAGACAGACACTGTTTTTTGTGGAGACTCTTCTATAGAGATGACTTTCCTCTAAGAGGCATGTAGTCACAAAAGCTGAGATTTGTTTTATCTTTCTGTATTGGAGAAAACAAGTCTATGTTTTATCTTTTGCATTCAAATTTCATGTTAAATTTGCTTCTTGGTATACTAACTTAAAGCCTATTGCCCCCTCCCATCCAGGAAGACCACCAGCCTAACTGGGAAACACAGTTTCAGTGGGAATATTGTAATGCTTTGGCATCATGAATACTTGACATGATAACAATTATTGCAACATTTGATTATATGAAACCCCTGAAGGGGTTAATTTCCTGCTTTGACAATTTCCTTGTGCAAATATTTTCATTCCATTTCATGCAAGACAGGTTTGGCAAATGTGGATGCTTTTGGTGGTATTGACATCTAAGTTATGCCATTTAAGGACAAGTGCTGACTGATAAATAATTTATTCATTTAGAATTCAGAAGAGACTGTGTAAAACTAGCTACCACAAAAAAAACCAAGCAGTGTTTTCCTAAGTCACATATGTGATCCATTAAACATTGGCTTTGGTACCTGGGTATTGTCAAACTTAGCATTTAGACCTAATACAGAATTAGAAGCCAAGCTGTCAAGATAATTTCTAGTCTGAATATAACTATATATATATAACAGTATATATAACAAAATGTTATTGTTATATATATTCTACTTGACTGCTTCTTTGCAAATATTGAAAAAATGTGTATGATAAGATGCAGGTGGAAAAGCCTTGACCATACTGAGATTAGTAATAAAATGCCTGTTGCTTTCAGTGAAGGCAGGATTCTCTGTATAAACTTTAATTTCTAAACACAATGGATGTATGCCATACAATTGGTGTATACATTATACTCATGGATGGCCAGCATGTCTGATAAATGAGTTTTTAAGGCCCAGTTCACATTCTTAAGCTTTCTAGTTCTGTTTTCTTTATATCAAAGTCTTCATACTATGATCTTGAAGAATTGAAATCTAAACTCCTGTTGTAATTTGTGTTTATATAACCATGGTGCTTGATAGCTTCTTACAGAAAATTACCTCTTTGTATTAAGTTCTGTGAAAAAGCAGTCTCTGTCTAAAAGTAAATAATTAAAAGATAACACCAGATGGGTGGGATTCCAAGAAATTATGAGACAGTGCTGTTAAGTTCATTTTGAGGCAATGCTGGTAAATGTGATGAGCAAGGCCATCCCATCATATTCCAGCTTTTTTTTTTTCTTCTTTTTGAGAGCAAGAGAGATGATTGAAAACTAAAGTTTTAAAAGAATTAAAAAATAACAAGGGGGTGGATTCTCAGAAGAGAAGAGCAGCTTGGGAGAAAGTACAAAGGCTGTTCCCTGAAAATGTAATTGTCAGTGATAATTGTCAGTGGTAGCCTGTCGACATGAGCAGATTGGAATCTCCTGATAAAGAGAAAAAGATGATAAGCCAAGAACAGCAGAATGAAGTCACATTGAAGCTGAGGGAGGAACAGAAAATGACTACTGATTCACAGCATTAGTTGGAAAGAGGTCATTAGAGGTCATGTTGAAAGTAAGGTTCAGTGAAAACAACTGGTGAAAGCCAAGGACATTGACTCCAGATTGTGATTGCAGTCTGTGAGCTTGAAAGGGAGAGGTATAATAAAATGGTAGAATAGTTACCAAAATAAGAGGGATACAGGCCACTCTCCCCCCTTTTTTTTTTTTCTTTACTAATTAAGGAAGAGACTGCATAATGCCAGAATTGTTAGGTGAGGAGACAGAGGACAGAAGAAGGTAAGGAAACTATAAAGGAGTGGTTGAGAGTCGGGACTAGTTATTGGAAAGGGTGATAGGAGGTAAGGATAGCTGAAAGACATCTGGCAGAAAGACCAGGACTGGATGAATGTGCTTGGAGTAAAGTGGGGAGATGTAGATTTGAGATTCCAGGAGTTGGAGGACTCTGGGAAAGAAGGATGATAATAACAAGAAAGGGGAATCATATCAGTCAGGGAAAGGGAGGAGCAAAGAAGTGATGAGCAGCTGTCTTGCAGGAGGAGGGCAAGAGCCAGTAGTGAGGGTTGCCCAGACAGGAACAGATTGCTGTTGTCTCTTAGAAGTTCTGCTTCAATGACATTGTGCTAACCCATGGTAAAAGGAAGCAATACCAAGGGATTCCAACACTGGTGAGGTCTGGACAGATGTCCCCCACCATGGCCAGAGGGTTGGGACTAGATGACCTTTAAAAGGTCCCTTCCAGCTCCAACTATTCTATGAATCTATGAACTGTCATTACAGTACTCTCAAAGTCTTGTAACCAGTATTATATCTAAGTTCAGTAGGAGCTTGAAGAATGACTGAATAGTATCCATCATTTACCATTCTTTCCTTTTTAACATTTTAACAGGATTTTCTGTTCTACTTCCATATTCTTTTTCTTGCTCTTTTTGTCATGTTACTCTACTAAGAAAAACTACATGTTCTTCGTGACACTATGTATTTAGAGCATGTTGGTCCAGCAATTTTGATAACTTTCAGACGGAATGATAGCTTTTCAGAACAGTGAAAGTGCAGTTTTTGTACAATTTGAGAGCACTGCAGTGTTTTATTACCATTGTCTCCCTTAATGGTGGTATCTTGGTCTAGTGAAGTGACCATTAGGATGAAAGCCAGTTACTTCCAGGTTCTCATTGCAGCTTTGCCACTAAAATCACTGCATAGGTGACCTTGGGTGATTTGTATAAGCCAACTTTTCAGTATCCATTAGTTATAAGCAATTCAAGGACACTTTGGGCTACCAGTTTAAGACACTAGTAAATCAATTTCCTAGGGAATGCAGTGTCCATAAATATAAATTATATTAATGTGGTTGGTATATGGGTGCTAAAATTAATCAGAAATGTTCTATTTGATTTGTTTTGCCAAGTCTTGGTCTTCTGCAGGAAATTTCAGCTTTCATGTCTCAGACTTTTCCTTCCTGAACAACTGAAAATATTATTTGAAATTCTGTATCCTGACCACCCTTTAAGATTAGGGCCAACAGTACTTCCAGATAGTCTTCAAAAAATAAGGTAAACAAATTAGTGGTCAGCTTTAAAATGTGTGTTGGAAACTTTTTTTCCTGCACAGTTTACCAGTTATATTAAATGGCTAATAATATAACTTACTTGAAGGATGAGATACTTAATTATGTAATGTTTCTAGATTTCTGAAACTCATTGTAAGTCAGGATTTACCCCTGTTGATTGGCAAGGCCATCGTAAGATGCCCCCAGCTGCTCTAGGCAAATAAATAATTTTTAGAGTTTTTCAGTTAAAGGTTGATGAGACAGTGTGGTGGTCAGCTGACAGTAGACTGCAGCCCAAAAGCTTGGAGACAAATATGACAGATGATTTGGGATGTTCAGATAACCTCATCTTGCCAAGAGATATGTTCATTAAATTGTCAAAGAACTGAAATGTATGCATTGTCCATCCATCTGGCATATAATTTAATTGCAGCTGAATTCCTGACCTCAGATATGATATAAGCATTTCTGAGTAGACATGACTGATAAATGTGCATAAACAGAGGCACTTAGAATAAAAATGTGTTTTAAAAGGAGAGTAAAAACACTTCTGAGATCTAGAGACTCATGACAACAATGATAGATGGTAACATACTCAAATAAAAAAATTTTACCGAGTACTAAATAATATTTTAAAAATATTTGCACAGGATTTTTAGTACAACCAATAAAGTCTCTCCATAGCCTGAAGAAAGGTGTCAGCAGTTGAAGTGCCTGAAACTGAGATACTGAATTAATCACAATGAGTTTTCTGAGGGCTGAATAGATAATCTGCATGATTTTAAATATTAAAAGCCTTTGTCAGGGTAGATGTGCCTGCAAAAATGCAAGCTGGCAGTTACACATGATTAAGTCACAGTTGTCTGAGCAATTCTATATCTGGGTTACCACAAAATATTATAAATAAAAACAAGTATTGATACCTGATTTCTTCTAAATTTACTTCTATCAGGCAGCAATGTTGTTATCAGTTAGGTGGATTTCAGAAATGTAATTTAACATCTTAGTATTTGAAATCCTGTCATACCAGTACAATGTTAGAACCCAAACCTGCAGAACCTGGGTGATCCGTAATAACCCTGTGGGAATAGTAGCACTGTGGAGGCTCGGTGTGCGCCTTAGGGGTCTGCATGAGCAACCCAGCTCCCCTTCAGTATCACTGGAGCTTCAACAAACAGGCTGATGGTTTGATTGATGCGTTTGGAGAGAGGTTCTCTGAATTCTTGAGGCTTTCAATATAGGCATTTAAATCAGAGGCTGAGGCTTGATGGTGAACACCCTTTCAGTCTTTTTTCAGGTCTCACTATATGAACACTGCCTCACTCTCAAGATTGACTGTAAAGAAAAGAGAAGACTCATTCTTCTTTCACTGTGAAGGAGAGCTGGTGCGTGAATTTAAACCTCTACACAAACAGATGGCAACATTTTCTTTTCCACTCCCTTTTCTCGGCATGGAGCATCACTGTCTTCAAGTCACAAATCTGGGAATATGTTTATCAACAGAGCTAATAGCAAAACCTGTCTGTGCTGTATGAGCACTTTAAAGAGTGATAAATTTCTCAGTTTCATGAGCATGTTGAAAACCTACTTCACTTGTGAGCATTTCTAAACAGCTTGTCAATAGCTATTCCTGTCAATGAGGCTATTGTGAATACCCAGGGGACACCCATGTCACCTGTGTGGGTGCCTGCTAGTAGATTCCTCAATATACACTTGGAGTTTAGTAGTTTCTTAGGGTAAAGACTTCTGCCAGAACCCAACCTGAAGAATGTAAAAACAGACTTGTAATATTTTGCAACTGGAGGTACAGGGTTTAGATATTTCTATGGCAATTGTCCTATCAGCACTTGATCTTCACAAGTACTGCCTCACTCTGTCATTTTTTTCCTTTCTCCTTTTCCAGTTGCTACAGCCTTAAGACAAACCAACTGAAGAATTCAATCAAAATATTCAACAAAAATTCACCAAAAACTAATTCATGTCCTGAGCTAGCTCTGCTTGATACCCCCATGTTTGCTTCCAAGTGTCTCATTGTAGGAAGACAGAGATCATTCCCAGGTGAAAACTTAGATTTACCCTGTGAGGACTGTTTAAATCTCTAAAGGTTTACAGCATCTGGTCGTTAGTCTATCTTATTTTTTGAGTGTTATGGAGGCTCAAAAGCAACCTAAAGCGTGAAATGCTCCATGTCCCTTGTCACAGGTCCTTGCTTCATCTCCCAGTGACCATCCCATAGTGCCTTCCTACACATAACATCTAGCAAAGAATCCAAACACAGTGAGTCTGGTCATTTCAAGCCATTGTATGGAGGTTATGCCTGTCCCATTGCTACTGCTTGAAGGTCATGTTTAAAAAAGGTGGCATATCAGCTCTTGAAAGTACCCTCCTGAACGCAGGCTTGCATCCAAACAGTTCAATCTATGGCTTTAAGCCACATGCAGCTCACCAGGTGATTTCTACAGTCAGAGGGGGTGAGCAAATGCTTCTGTACGTGGAAGCTGTGGTGGCATAGGCATGTCCATAGCCAACTGGTTCACAAGTCGGAATGTCCTTTGTTGTCCTTGCTTATGGGTCTGACCCAAGTACCACCCTGAGCAGCAAGGGTTGTTTCTGAGGACCAAAGAAAGAATAAACCATGATCATTGAAGGGTGGGCAAAGGGAGGAACTGCCACAGGAGGGAGGAGATGGACACTGGATTTCAGTCTGAAAGAGGAGATCACACAGCTGACAGAAATTATAGTGTCAGAGGCAGGGTACCTGAGAGCAGCATGGATGCTTGGAAGAGAGAGGTGGTGTGGACAGACTATAAGAGATACACAAGTTTTGGGGCAAGGAATAGAAGAAATGCATGGGCAGGTAGGCACATGGCTCTTGGTGGGAGAGTGTGGTTTGAAAGGCTGCTGGAATATACCATATTTTTGTAGCAATTCTGTGCATCACACAGTCATCTTAGACACAGCCAAAGGGTCTGTGATTTAGGGGGAATTGTGAAGTGTGCTTAAAAGAATGAGAAAAATGCAGTCTGAAAGTTCTCAAGGAGTCTGAGGGACAGTGGCAGTTGGGCCTGGTGATCCTGTGTCCTGTTTCTTTCCAGGACTGTTGCAGTTCTGGTACACACCTCACTGAGAGCAGAGCAAGGCAGGGGGAAGGTGTGGGAGACCGTGCTTGAAGGAGGTGTGTGGTTCGATGCTTTCCCTGCAACCTCTCTCCCAGTGTACTCCTGAGAGGCCTTAATTGGAACTGAAAACTGCTGCTCCTTGGCAGAACTCCTGAGGGAGAAGGGGAACAGCATTGCCTTGCACCCTCGTGGGGATGATTTCTTTCCTTCTTTTCCCCCAGTGTGACACAAGAAGGGAAATTAATATTGCAGTCCATTGAACCTACTTGGTGAATCTGGCATAACGTTATTTAAAATGACTGAGATTTTTACTTTTTTTTAAATTTATTTCATCTACCAGCATTTGAAAAACCTTGAAGATCATATTATGTGCACAAGCACAGCTAATTTGTTTGTTGCAAGGACCCCAGTCATAGAGTATGTATATCCAAGGCAATTGTGAATTAAGACTTAAGCCATTCAAGCAAGTCTGCATGTGAGTAAATAACATTCAACCTATTGGTTCCCAAAAAGTATCCAGGCAGAGCCCAGAGAACCGATGCTTTCAGCACAACACTGCCCTCTGGAGCTCTCAGAATCACTTTCATTGCAAACCAAACAAAGGACATGGAGAGGAAAAACAGGAAAAATCCTTGGTCTCCAATGTAAAAATGAATAGCACAGTGTTCACAGTGCAGTGAGTAATGAAAGCAGCTATACTGCAAAAACAATGGAAATATAAAGACATTCATCCCCATCACAAATGCCAGCAAATATTTTTCAGCATTGTGTGAAAGGCAGAAGGAAATTGAGAATTTTAAACAGACCTGGAAAGAGTGACAGAGAGTAACAAAAATGCTTTTTAATTTTGCTTAAATGTGTTGGCAGCATTCTAAGAAAAAAAATCAACAAACTATTGAGAAGAAAAAATAATTTGCTCTGAAAAATCTATTTTAGATGCAGATCTTTTTCTGCTGTGCATCCTTTCCCATTTTGATAGTGTTTGTGTCAACGCAAAGATGATATGTTACCTTGTGCTGTCAAGAGCTTACCAAAATAAACTTCATCAACAAGGCATTAAATAATAATATCACCTTTCCCCTGAAGTTTTTATATTCTCTGTGATGTACTTATGCATATTTTTAAAAGAACTTAAATTATTGATTCTCTCCTTCCATCAAATCTGTCTAAGCAGTGAAGTGTATATAGAATGCAGTCTTCTACTAAGCTCTGTTAAAGAACAACCCACAACCCTTAACTGAAAGCATGGGCTGTTAGAAGTGAATTTCTTGAGTTTATGAAGGTCTGAATCTTGCACATATAGTCTGTAACCAGTAAAAACTCATCCTTGACGATATTTCTGATAGCAGATATTATTCTCGTAATATGTGCACAGAATTGGATTTAAGAGATCAGGGATTTAAGAACCACATTCCAATACCTTCTCCACACAGTGTTTTTTGATTAGAGTGAATGATGGAAAGCTGAGGTTAGAAGGGACCTCTGGAGGTCATCTAGTGCAAGCATCTGGTCCAAGGAGTATCAGCTAGAGGAGGTTCAGGGTTCAGGGGCCATGTCCAGTCAGGGTCACACTCAGGTTCTCAGTACTTCCAAGGGATGGACGGTCTACAACCTCTTTGGGCAACTTATTCCTCTGTTTGACAACCTTCATAATAAGGAATTTTTTTCATATTTTTAAGTAGTATTTCCTGATTTTCAGTTTGTGCATGTTGCCTCTCATCCTGTCACACTGGAAGCATCTGACGCCAACGTCTTTACTCCCTCAATCAGGTATTTATACACACTGATAAGATCCCTCCTGAAACAGTCCCAGCTCTCTCAACCTCTCCCTATATGCCATGTGATCCAAGTCCTTGATTGTCTTTGTGCGACTTTGTTGAACTATCTCCAATATGTCCATGTCTCTTGTACTGGGGAGTCCAGCACTGGTCCCAGTATGCCAGATATGTCTCACCAGTCTGGGCAGATGGGAAAGATCACTTCCCTCATCCTGCTGGTAAGGCTGCTTCTATAGCAGCTCTGAATGCTGTTGGCTGCTTTTGCCACAGGAGCTTATTACTGGCCCATGTTCAATTTGGGGTCCACCAGGATTCCAAGGGCCTTTTCAGCAAAGCAGCTTTCCAACCAGTCAGCCCCCAGCCTGTGCCAGTGCCTGGGACTCTTCCTCCTGAAAGGAATTTGTGGTGCAATTCAGTGTTATCAGGATAGTAGCTGCCAATTTTGAAAAGAACAGAAGTAAGAACTTGGGAATAAATGTCTTGTGTTACTGTAGTTGAAAGAAAGGTTATCTGAATACCAGTAGACTACGGGGAATGGATTGCAACAAACAAAAATGGCAAGAAGGGGTAAGCAGTAGCTCTCCTGTGAGTGAATGTTTGATCATAGAAACTGAAATCCTGGATGTTTCCCTCAGGGCTTGATCTAGTATCTATTTAAGCCAGTAAGAGCTTCTCTATGGTTTTGGTGGGCACTAAATGAAGCCAAAATGGACCATGAAGAAATTAAGAAAGTTTGCATAACAGTGTTTTTATCTATCCTACTAATAATAAGCACACAGCAAAGCAAGCCTCTAGATAAAAATAGTGGGAATTTCTGAAGTTATTTCATAAATTAAATTTTAAATTGAATTTAAAAATATTAAGTAAGAACATTAGTGGTCTTAGCCTCAGTGAAATAAACAATTGTTTACCTGCAAACAATTAATTATGTACATAAATGTTTGCAGGACTGATACATATATGGAAAGGAGATCTGAAGTAAATAGTAACACAAAAATGCTACTGTCCTCTCTCCATTGTTCAGGGAATAAAAATTAGTTTGGCATTATGAGATTTAAATTCCTGTAAGTGTCCTAGGCAGTTGACTGCTGTGCAAGTACAGAGGAAAGACAAATGATCATATATTTTGCCCTGTGAGGCTAGTTATGAAATACTGATGCCAACACTGCAGTATATAACAGAGCTAATAATAATTAGCAGGTTTCATCCTTAGTGCAGATGACCAAGTTTAATAGCATGTTTTAATTTCACTTCAGATCCAAATGGATAGCATGGGTCAGCTTGGCTGATCTGCATATGTGTGTATCAAAATTATTCTTATAAGTTGCTTTTCCCTTAATAAACTGATTTTCCCCAATATTTTATTTTGTAACATTTATGAGACAGAAGCTGGAATTTAAATACCTTTTCCTCTTCATAGAATACAATTTGGAATAAAGTTGGAATACAATGTTTTTGGAGCACATGTCCTGGTTAGGTAAGAGATAGGATCTGAATTTAGGATCATGGATAAGGGCTGCTTTTGAAAGATCACTTATGAAACAGATTTGACCCTTCATTCATGTCCTAAAATAAAAATAGATCAGAGAGATCTGAGGTGCTTGTTTTTGCTTCAGTGTTTTTTTAGAAAATCTAAGTTTTCTGTACAGCATTCAAAAGTTTACTTATTTTACTCTTTCATTAAAAATTGATCTTAAAACTCTAGATGGCAGGTCTTCTCTTTCCAATGTGAAGAGCTCTTCACTTTCCATGTTTGCTGGGCATTGTATATTCACTGTACAAATACACTAAAAAAAGTTTAAACTTCCTATTTCTGAGAGTCCTTCCAGATGAGATTACCAAAGCAGAAACCATTGATCAGAAATCACTGCAGGAGTTACTTTTTTTCTTACTGTTGTTTATACAATTATCTCTATCATCCAACCATATTTTGGTGGATACCAGCTTTATGACTTGAGATCTTTAGGGTTTATTTCTAATGAAATACATTCAGACACAAAATCTTTATAGTGTTCCTTTCCAGGTTTGGATAGTCAAGTTTGTCTTAACTCATTTCTCACTGATAGCATTGTTATCATTGTCTAATCATTAAAGGAGTGGAAGATCTTGTCCTCGAGGACATCAGTTCAAGTCCAGCTCTGTCTGTGTATTTAGCTAACTCAGAAGACATGATGTGGCTCATAGTGATTAATAACTACATTCTCCACAAGCTGGCATCTTCACCGAGGTCTGCAGTATATCTAATTGAATTGGCCCCACTGAATTTAATCTTGAGATCCCCAACACACCAAAATTAAGTACAATTTTAAGTACAGTTATTAAATTATACTTTCATTTTGCTAGAAAATATGGGCATCCAACACTTAAGTGACACATGAGATGAAAGGTTAATAAGATCTCAACTCAATTTGGAACAATTTAAACTTTTCTTTAGAAATAGAATGGTATTATTTAGTTAAAAATAGAGAACAATTATTAGAATATTTACTCATTATAGACTAAGAGCAAGTCATTATTTGTAGTAGTCCTCTGATACCAGGAGTTGGACTCAATGATCCTGATGGGTCCCTTTCAACTCAGCATATTCTGTCATTTTATGATATTAGTGGAATCAGTATGCAATTGATGATGTGGACTATCATCTAGGCACACTACCAGCAAAGTCAAGGACTCTTTACCCTTGACTTCAATAATATCAAGTAGAAAACCAAAATGACCATGGAGATGACTGTAATTTAGGCATTGGAATGCCTAAAGATGAGGTAACTATTTCATCCTTGTTGATTCAGAGGAGTGTCAATGTATGATTAGAGTGTGTATCAAATTAATGGGCAGAAGGTGCCTACCCAGAGGGGAACCAAGAAGGCCTACAACTGGGCAAAGTAAGAGCTCCCTGATAAGTGACGGTGGGTCCAGAAACACTCTGCTGACCTCCCGTCCTGGTAGGCTTTCCTATTCTGTCAAGATCCAGAGCACAAAATCCTCTCCTGAGGAAAGCTGAAAACCAAAGGGAAAGCAAGTATGGAGGAATTTTGCATGATGCCTTAGCGATTATAGCTTTTTACTAAGAAGTGTCTGTATTGGGTTGTAGTCTACCTGATAGTCTCTAAAATCATTACTGATAATCTTGGTCCACAGTCTGCAAAAAGAGTTTATGCTGGATGAATACTTTTAAGAGTTTGCTCAGGTTGCAAACTGAATAGCTTGGTATCAGTATCAGGATAGTTAAGGGAGAGATAAAAACACCTAAACAATAATTAGTCCCAATGATAGAATTCATGATAGGGTTAATGAATGATTAATCTGAATGAAGAAAAATTTTAATTGACCTATACTTCAATACTTTTGACTAAATTACAAATGTAATTGTTAAAAGCAGTATTGGAGGTGTAACATACTTGCACTTTGATACATCATTTGACCTAGACTTGTACAAGTTTCTGCTTAAGAAAAGGGATACAGAAACAACTGATTGAAGCAATTGAGATTGAACTGACAGTGTGAAACTGTAGACTCTGAATTCTCATCAAATAGAAAAAAAAAATTACCACAGCCTTCAAGGATTTATTCTTGGCCTCAGATTGTTTCATTCTTTTATCAGTGACATGGAAGAAACAAAAATAATTATTGAGAAACTGTACAGGGATTGAGGGAGCAATAAACAATGAGGCTGACAGGTCACTGATAGAATTTGGATTTTTTTTTTTCTAGGCACAAGCAAACAATATGCATTTCTCTTCAGTTTATTGGCTTTGTACTAATGAGCAATCACTCCGATGATGACTTACTGTCCTGGTAATCAGCCAGACTCCAGTTCCCAGAGCACAAGTGTGGTTGAAGGGGCTAAATGAAATCCTTCAGTATTTAAACAAAGTGACGTGGAAGAGGAGCAAAGAGACTGTCCCACTTGCACATTTGGTATGGATGTGACTGCTACCAGCTTGCCTGCATTTGAAATGCGCTCGGAAATGCAGGGTTCCTTACAGTGGGTTACTGCATTGCAAGTGTTATCTTCTGCGTTTTTACCATTTCTGAACTAACAAACAGTGATGGCTTTGCCCTTTTAGTTATAATAATGTACTGCCAAACCCCAACAACACCCTCCCTAAGGACTAAGTTATTTTAATGGAGAAATGTAATTAAGATTTCCCCCCATTCCTCATTTTTGCAAGCTGGTCCATTTCACATGCAGGCTGTCTTCCAATTAGTGCAAGCCAGATGAAGTCTTGAGCACTAAATATTACCTGGTGAAATGATTTTGCACGGTAATTGACCTCCTACCACATGTCACTGATACAGTGTCCTTTCCCCTAGCTGTGACCTATAATAAAAGTTTTTGGAAGAATATTAACCTGGCTGTATATTATTTTCTGGTTCATTAAATCTAATAGCAATTCTGGCAAAGTCTTTAATTGATGAGAGAGGTCTGCCCTCCACAAGAAAGTGTTTTCATAATACTAAACGCTGGATCCTTACATAATTTACTTACAGCCAATTTTGAATAGAGACATTAGATGGGAAGACCTCAAAGGACTATTTAGATTTCACAGTCTACAAAACTATCCCAGTTCTCAGCTTTGTCTCTGCTGTAGTCCTGTGAGATCTTTAATGGATTCTCTTTTACATATAGGCCTTCAGCTCCTCATCCTTTGCCATTATTTGTAAACATTTGATGCCCTCTGGCCACAAGAATTCTGAGGGAGAAACAAGCATTTCACCCTCTTGGTGGCATCAGTCCCATATGTAAGAAAGACCCTATATAACAAGGGGGCTCCAGCATCTGTTTTCAGTACTTAAGCCAGCTTTAAAGCATCTGCTGTTGCCCTTAGAGTTATCTGATTCTTTCAGGCCATTTGTCACTGTCCCAGTTTGACTGGCAGCGATAGTTAACCTTTGCTTAGCACTCTGCAGGTATTTACTTTGTACTTCAATATATTTTACCTTGTGTACTAATAAAATTCTCCTGTTTACAGAGGACCTTTTATCCCAAAGGATTTCAACAAGCACTGCAAGCTGTAAATTTATAGCAGTACTGTTCAGGTAGTGCAACTTTTTGCTCAGTACAAAAGACAGTAGCCAAAGTGCAGGAATCCTGGTGTTTTAGAAAGTGACTGCTAAACACAGAATTTAAGCAGAGGCATGTGCATTTCAGGGAATGAGTCTAGGGTATGGAGCTAAGTTCAAGTCTCTGCTGAACCCATGCCCACAAAACTTGCCCAGCTGTTCCATGTGACTTGTGAAGGTGCTAGTGCACAGCCCCACAAAGCACACGGGCACTGACATGGGACTTCAGTGGAACTGAAGCACTTCATTCCAATGGTGCAACCCCCAAAGCTATGCCTGGCTCCTTAGGCAGTAGTAGATCTATCAACACCTACATTTTCATATTTATGATAATAATAGAAAAAAAAAAAAACAACTAGTGATGCTAATATTTTGCATACCACTGCACAATATTCAAACTACAACCATGCTGCCCAGACTGAAAAATTTACTCTTTGTCTCATGCCTTACCCAGTCAAGACTCACAGACAAGCTGTCCGCGTCGTTCCCAAGCCCTTTCCATTAGGTGAGTTTAGGTCAAGCTTAAGGCAGAGTGGTAGCAGAGTTTGTCTCAGTACTAAACACATTGTTACAACTGCAGCAGGAGGAAATCCTTGTTCCAGTTACTGCCCTTGGCAGTGTCTCTCCAGAGATAGGCAAGGTAGGCAGTGTGTGTAGCTTTCTATCCACTCCTGGCTGAGTGTAAAATTGATAAAGAGCAAGAAAAATGAGTAATTTCCTTCAAGTTTGTCTTTGGTCAGCGTAGGGAATACAGTCACTGAAGCTGAAGAGAGCCTTAAACTTGACCCTCACTCTCCCTGAGCAGACATGATAACTGTTGAGACTAGTTTTACAGAAAGCAGCGGTTGGTATAAAAGGAAACCAAGAGGCTTTCTCCACTGTTAGAAGGACACTGGTGGGTGCTAAGCCTCAGAAAAAATTCTAGTTGTCTATCTTGTTCCAAAGGGGTAGATCTGGATGCAGAGGCTGTAAGGAAACTACTGAGCAGCCTCATCCCTGAGTTCCTTATCCCTCAAGGCTGAGGAACCTTGAGTTCCAGTGCAGAGGACATCCACACTCAGCCCAGACATAGCTTTCGTGTCCCACCCATCAAAACAAAAAACCCAACCCACAACAAAATCAGCTTTCCCTCTGCACACTAGGAGGCTGCACTAATAAAGTGACATTTGAAGTCAGGATTATTTCCAAGTTTAAAAACCTGACATATTCAGGATCTGACTTGGCTCCCATGAAATACATATCTAAAATAAGCAGTCATTTTTTCGTTTTTAGCCTCATTCTCAAAAGTTAGCTTTGGATCATACCAAGTTAAAAAATATAAACCTTTATATTGGATTTATATCATAAACCAAAATGCAAATTTTTGCTTTTCCTCACTTTCAGTTACCTCTGGGTATTTAATAAATTCTCCACTAATTCTCCCCTGCGTTATTGGTCTGCAGTTTAGTCTACATCATGAAAATCATTTAGTTGATAGCACTTTAAACTTATCTATAAACAGCTTTTGATGACTAATATACATTTTTCTGTTCCTGCAGTAAATTTGTTTCAAGCAAAAGGAGACTGGAAACAACACATTAAATTCTCTGATAAATCAACTACTTAATATTTAATTTCAAATCATACTGGTAAGTCAAATTAGTTTTTTCTCAGGCTAACATCTGGAGGGAAAGAAGTAAGATAGCTGCAGAAATATAAAATTGGCATTATTCTGCTATGGAATATGTCTTATGCCATAGGGAGAATAATTTTTTAGGTGTTGTTTATATTTTTCTATATTAAAAGGCAGCCACTTTAGATTAATTTAATTTGAATTCCTACATTGCCTCTGCAAATAAAAAGAATGAATAACTGAATGGAAAATGCTTTTGCTTATTCCCTACTCTGAAAGTGATTCATTATTTAAAATATTACCATTAAAAATGAACCATTTCCACAGATACGATGAAACAGATAATTTTTTTACAGGCATCCTTGCAACTCCGAAAAACGTGAATATCTGTTTACTGCAAGGTTTTGAGGGGTATCCTTAGTAGTATACATACCAAGAGACATCACAGATGTCTTCTGTCCTACATTTTTTATGCCACTGTCACACTAAATGGCATTAGACCTTATCATACCTTTTTTTTTAGATTCTTCTTTTTATGCTATATCCAGTGCCAACTTGCATCTGCAGTTAAAACCAAACTAGCTCCCAGCTTTCACCATTGCTTCTCCTATTCTGTGTTCTAAGACAGTGCTACTGCCAATGATACTGGATTTACACTGCTGCCCAGCCCTGCCCAAGGACAAAGTGCATAAGTGACCTTGTTCAGCCTCATAAAAAGCAATCCAGCCCACAGAGCTGTTTTTGTTACTGTCAATGGCTCTGTCATTGGTACAGACTTACATGACTGCCTGAAGTGGAACTGAGGAAAACATTTTCAAGGAGTAACAAACATGATCTGGAGCAGAAGCTCAAGGATAAGAAGTTCAGTCAAACCAAAGTATTCTTTCCTCACCCATCCACAAATGTAAAGCCTGTCATTAGAGAGGATTCCTGGTGCAGGTGTGATGTACTGTATACATGCAGCGGTGGGAATGGGGAAAAGATGCAAGTATGATTGGTATCCTGGAGAAGCGGCAGTCCCAAACACCACTGTTTAGGTAGTTTAGCTGATCATTTGCCTCTCTGAGTTTTCTCATAGTTCTTGAGGTCTTTGTTTTAGCTAAAGCACACAGCAGAGAACTGTATTAGCTAAAATAATTCTTGAAGGAGGCAAGCAACTAAAGTGAAATGAGGAGTGAGAGTTTGACATGAATATTTTCAAGAGGTAATGACTCAGCTCAGTCTTGCCAGAATTCTGTTGCAAACTCAAACTTTCACAGTCGTTTCTGCTGACTCCACGAAAAGGATTTTGCTACTAAAATTGAATTGTGTTTTCTGATGCAGGTCCTTACTTCATACCAGTTAAGCTTCTATACCAGTGGAATTACAGGATTGTCTGTGCTGCTGTGAGTATATTAGGAAAGGTACAAGAAATTTATTCCTCAAAAAGTTACCAGATTAGCTCAAAATGACGTTATCTATTAACCCCACTACATTCAACACCAACATTAGTATCATACATGGTGGCATGTGCTGTGTGCCATTTGATGGGGCTGGTTTTATTGCTTTATAATGCTTTCCTAGCACAGGGAGAGAGCCTCTACCTCTGCCAACTAACAGTTGATAATCCTTGCAGCATTTTTTTATTTATATATGAAAGACTACCATACATAGAAACCTAAAACATTCTGTTGATAATTTTAAAGAAAAAGCCCTTTCCTTGAAAGTCAGTCAGTACTCTGAGCTCTTTTGGCACTCTAGTTAAATGTTGAGATACATGTAATATTTTTAGCTTTCAGGCCAACTCATTCTAAGTCTTATTCATTCTAAGAGGCAGTTCATGTTCTTCACTATGTTAAGTACATGTGATTCATGGCTTTAGTCCACTTAGGCTCCTTTACAATAATATCTGATGTAGAGGAGCATAGTTTCTTGGTGTAATGAATTTCACCCCTTTCAGTAGTCTAATTTAACTGCTATAATTTGACTGGCATAGTTGCTGGGCTTTCTGTTTAGCCAAATACAA